AACGTAATAATAACCCAACCGTAACGACATCTATAGCGCTTTACGGCTAACTTAATGAAAACACGACAGTGATTTCCTACGTGGCGACGGATTTTTGCTTACATGGCATTAAAAAGTAATGGTATTTTTGTAAATATTTTTTTTACATAACATAATAAAAAGGCATGCTTGGTATTTAAAAATGTCAGTAAAAAAAAAGATTTGTTTGGTTCTAGTTATTTGTCCTAAAATATGTACTATTTGAATAAACTTCCCTTATTTTAAGTTTAATGTTTACAGCGGAGATAATATATTCTCTGGCTATGCAAAATTTGATAGCTTCATGTGCCGATTACATGCTCTTTGGCCATGCAAAATTTGATGTGCCAGTCTAACCTATCATGTCGACCACACAATGTGACTTCCTTGCACCTCAACAATCTCACCATAGCTGTCGTTTAGCAACACCCACCTCTGACATTGCATGATGCCTCAAGGAAGAAGACGGTGGTGCTGATCTAGTAGTATAGTAAATGTTATTCATGGTTTCCTTTAAATGGTTCAGTATTATTTGATGTAATAGTGCTTAGTCTTGATTTTGTATCATTTAACAAAATGATATAATTGGCTATTATAATTTTGATCCAAAAGAACTATGAATTATTCGGTTAACAAACTCATTTTGAGGCTAGTGCAAGTTGTATCCGGTTTGACTTTGAAATATCCGGTTTATTGAATGCAATCTGTGGTTTATTGAAGTGCAAACAAATTATAAAGTCTACATACCTAAAAATAATATCATGATTTTCGATAATTTAAACGTTATCTAGATATATCTTTCAAAATGCAAACAAACAACAAACAAATGATCTCGGTTATAATACATGTTTTCTTTAAATTTAGCTTAAAGAACCCTCGAGAAAAAGAAAAGAAAATTAAAACTTTGACTTATATAAAATTTATATTTTTCAAACGCAGAAGTTTCAGTTTTTTTTTTTACTTACTTAGATGATAAGTCATGACTTTATTCTTCTCTTTTGCTTTCCTTAGCAACCTGGAGACACATATTTTGAAAAGAAGAAAAAATGCTTGCATGTGTTTTTTACATAAATTAACACAACAAAAAGTCTAACTCTTTCTCTACACGGACTTAACACCAAGCTGCAAAACCTGACAGCCATACAGGTATAGCAATTGTGTTTTCGATAAATTTAGCTAAAAACAGTGTTCCAACAAGGTTAGTTTTGTCTTACCACCGATTTCTTATAACCAATTACCTAAATATGATAATGTTATAGTTAGATACAATAGAATCTCTATAAATTAATACTTGATAAATTAATATACATTAAATATATCTATAAAATAATATAATATTATAGTCCCAAATTGAGTTTTTGATTCGATCAGTATATGGATAAATTAATATCTCTTTAAATTAATAAAAAAATAAAATTTTGGTGTAGTCCCAACATTATTAACTTATAGAGGTTTCACTGTACCTAATAAATTAATGTATCATGGTTATTCACCTAAATTGCCCTATTAATTAAGCATTCAACACTTTTTTTCTTTTCATTTTTCCCTTTTGTCACTCATTCCATTTCTCTTTCTCAAGATCTTTATCTACGCTCACAGTCTAGGACCTCTAGGTATAGGCTTGTTACTGTTTGGTCGTGATAAACGTTTTAGCTACGGCGTCAAAACATGAACGAGAGGTTGTTGTCGAAATTATATTCCCTATATATTATTTGCAAAGTGATTTGCCACATATCCTCTCTACAATCATTTTTAACAAAAAAATGATGACGTGTCTACTAAGATTGATGACATGGCTTATAGTTAAATATGACATGGATAATTACATTTATTGCATATATGTTTTAGTAAACTTTATAGAATATGACAAAAATTGATACATTACATTTAATCCTGATTTATATTTTTGGTAAACTTCTTAAAATGTGGTAATAACTCATAAATCATATCATCACTAAAAATAAATATACTGAAATATGCATTATAAATTTTGAAATGTTATTTAATTTTACTTTTATAATTATAAAATTTTTATTACTAATATTTTGTAAAATTTTCAACATCTTTTAACAAATTAATAAATTTTTAATCATAATATCATTAAATCTTTTAGATAGCGACAAAGTTTATAAATATTGTTTAGCTGTAATTTTTAGTAACTATACAATTTATATACGATTTTTTAGTAGTTTTATGCAAGTTGATTTAATACATTTAACCAAAATAAATAGATAAAAAAATTTCTTTTTTTCTTAGTTTTGTGCTTAATTAAATAAAATTTATATTAAATATTAGTCGAAATAATAAAATATATAATATTACTAAATTTCATTTTAAATATAATTTAACTTTTAAAAAGTTTATAACTGCACATGGTGCAGGAAAACACCTAGTGGTACAAAAATGAGGACTTGAACCAATATCAGAAACAATGTAGGATGATGATGTTTCAAGAAAATCCAGAAGGTGCTTGTGATAGATAATACCTTTGATGTATTTGACATTTTTTTTTAAGTCATATATACAAAACTCTCAAATATATATGATCTGATTATTAATTCTTAGCACTAGTTGTATAAACAAAAAAAACTAATTATGATATGAACCCAAATATTAACAAGATAAATTACACAAAACAAGTATAGTAATGTTAATTAAGTCACATAAAATAAATATTATACAACTAAACTCTCTTAGTACTAAACAACATTCAATGAATTGATAAAATATGTTCAATCTATTCAAAATAAAACATGCGCTATCACGCGGATCGTGATTAAGATTTTAATTAAATTAAAAGTGAGTTTCCAAATATTTAATAAAGAGAAATAATAGGTGGTGAAGATAGTGAATAATAAAGGGATAGTAAGATTAGTTTTATAACCACACTGGCTTTTTAGGTTAATCCCCTATTGATACATTATATAGTTCAGGTTCTCTCTTAATACAAAAGAAAGTCTTAACATCATATTTTGCATATTTGAATTTTTCAGACTATAATGTTAGTGGGATATGAATTTGTAACGCTGTTAAACTTCTGAAATTCTATTGGTATTGGCTAGTGGATTCTAACACTCTTGATAAAAACTTGTGTTATTCGTTTGACGATTGTTTAATGATTTACAAAATCCCCTCTATATTATTTGAGAAGCATTACAACATGTTTTGGTAGCCACGTATTATCACTATAATGATTATTAGAATTCATAATAAAAATAGGATTGTCCATCTAAATATACATCATACTTTTTTATTAAACTAACTATCATATTAATTAGTAGTGTAAAACAAAATATTCTATATTTTTTTCATTAAATAAAACCTAGGGAGTTACCTAATAGCGTTAATATGTATATAATTAATAATTATGAATAATAAGGATTTGATAAATTTTTGTATCTTCGTCATTTTTTGTTTAATTTTATATTTTAAAAGAAATTAAACAATCACATTAACAATATAATAAAAAAATTATCTTTTTAAAACGGCGATAAATTACTAAGACTATTAAAAATCACATAATGAAAATTTTGTGATCAATAGTTTAACTTTTTCATAACAAAACACAGATGATTTTAAAATTATATGAATATAAAGCCTCATTTAATATATAATCATATTAAAAACAATATATATATATATATATATTAATATATTCAATATCATATATAAAATACATAAAAATGTTAATTTCAAAATTTGCATTAAGTGAACGCCTCAATTAATAAATAAATTTTCATATTAATAAAATAATACTTTTCTTACAGCAAATATAAAAATGTTAAGAAAATCATGTGAGTACGAAACCTCAATTAATAAATATTTGTATTGAAATGTACTATATATCTATGTCAATACTCACTCCGTTTATTTATATAGGTTGTTTTAGTTGAATGCACAAATATTTTTCAAAGTAGAATTTGATATATTAAATTAAATATAACTAAACCAATCATAAAATAAGTCAGTATTATTTGATTGACCGCACCATATTCAATAAATGTAAAGTTGCCTTGATACTGGAAAAATTTACTTTTATTTTGAAAAAAAAATATTTTAAAACGATTTACAATAAGAAACAGAGGATGTATTATTTAATTTTAATTATATACCATATAAAATAAATAAATGATTGTTTTGATTTTTTATCAACAAAAAATATTTTAAATTAATAGAAATTCTTTTTCTTTATGTGCTTACTCCTATTTAACTAGGTATGTAATAGTTACTTGATTCTCAATATTCAATATATTATTATTGCATAAAACATAATGAAAAAAAATATGTATAACTAATTTGTACACATAATTAATGTTAATTTTGTGCAAGGACGAATCTCAAATGTTCTTTGATCATATCATTTTTAGAAATACAGTTCTTTATATTGAAGTGAGATAGTGAATTGTAACATCCCAGTGATATCATTGAAGTTCATGTAAACTAATAGTTTAAAAAAAAAATCAACATATCCGATATTTAATAACCTTATAATTTCTATTAATAACCATATGTTTGGGGACTTATTACACGATATCTGAACGGTCAATTGTTTTAGAACACTGACGATCAAAATTAGTATTCAACAATTATCTATTATATAAAGTAGAGTTGGATCACTCCTTAGGGTGTCCACGTAGGCTGACACGTCAATAAGTCCACGTGTACATTTTTTTTTTGAGCTGTTTATTTTTGTGTCAATAACTCATTCTTCTCAAGCCAAAACGCGGAGTCCCCGTGACCTAATTCATTTTGTGCTTTCAAGAGAGTCGACTCCCCTCTTCGTGCGACGACGAACCTTGCTCTTCTCCTGAGAATCTCTAATCGCTTGCGTTATTTCTTCATCTCTTTGATCTTCGACACGTTCCGGAATCAATCGTAGCGGTTATCGACAACAGAGACTCAGCAATAGAGGAGGCGAATTTCTTGACCAAGTATAGATCTAAGGTTTATATAACCCACAGGCGTTCAGGACGTCGGAGATCATGCAGCAGAGGGCGTTGTCGAACCCTAGGATTGAAGTGATTTGGAACTCTTCGGTGGTGGAGGCGTATGAAGATGAGAACGGGAAAGGCGTGCTTGGTGGTTTGAAGGTGAAGAACGTTGTTACTGGTGATGTTTGATTTGAAAGTGTTTGGGTTGTTCTTTGCGATTGGTCATGAGACGGCAACGAAGTTCTTGAATTGGCTGCTTGAGATGAGGATGGGTATGTCGTGACCAAGCTGCAAAATATTCAGATATGTTAGATATTCAGGATGGGTATGTGTAAGTTATAATTTTTCAGATACCTTTCATGAGGTGAAAAGCAAAAGAGACAAGAAGAAAGAGGCAAGTCTTCTCTTTTTTTTTTCCTTATAAATCCATTATTTGTAGTGTTGTTTTTTTTAGTTTTTTCTAATTCAGTTGTGTTTTGCTTTTCTTTTTAAGATTTAACAGAATGTTATGGATTCACTTATAATCACGTGTCCTTTGTAACTTTCATTATCTAATTGATTTCTGTCTGCAGAATTTAGTGCCAATTAACCAAGCAAGTGCCAGAACTGGTCGGAGGAACTTCGCTTCTACTAACACTTATCATGGTTGTTTGATTTCTTTTATTTGGTCGCTTCGAATGAGAATTGTACTTCACTTTCCTGTTTTTAAGCTTTTTGTTGACATTCTGATGCATGCAATGGAAGAAATGCATCCTTTAAAGGGAGAGTGGAGCTAATCATGTAACAGAGGGGTTCTAGAAATTTTCCTCCTCATACTAACAACCGAGCAAAAAACCCCACAGCACCTTATCCGATAAAGTATTTTTACATTTCATCCTTTTGTCTCTCTATGTTAAATCCGTATGTTATTAGAGATTAAAGGGTACCTTTTGAAGGGTTTCTGGTCCTACAAGTGGGGCAAGCAATCATCAAGTGGAAAATGATTTTTCTGTTACTGTGAACAAGGGAGTTACAGAGAAAAATCCTCTTTCCAAGTCTACTTCGTTCTCCGAGAATTGTGTTAAGCCTGAGACGTCTAAAGCAAGTTCAGAACAAGTTGATGCACCTGTATCAGTGTCTACAGAACCATTTTCAAGATGTAATTCCTGCTCAGGTCTCACAGCATGTTGTGACTAAACTGCCAGCAGAGTTGCAGTCATCTACATTCGTCCACAGGATCCTTCTTTGATTTCTGCTTCTCACTGCAATAGCCATTCTGATCAAGGTATGTTGGCCTTTTAATTGTGAACCTTTTCTTTTCCTTCGTATATTCATCAAAATAGCAAAATAATTGGAATGGAACAACTTTTGTGGAGAAACTAAACATTAAAGTATTTTCTTCAGAGTATCAAATGAAAACACATATTGAAGTATTTTCTCAAAAGAATTCTGTGGTGATCCAAAAGTTATTGTTGCTACAAGCATAAACCAAAAGATGATTAGAGGTATTGAGTTTATTTCGTTTCTAATAACCATTATATGTAGATCGTTCAACGTCCGGGACACATGTGTATTTTGATAAGGAGACGAATGCAGGAGGAGTTCTCTACCAGTAAGCTTAGAAGTCAATCCGTGGTGTGATCTCATGGAGCCGTAGACGCATATTAAAGTATTTTCCTTAAAGAAACTAAATCTTTGGGATATTTCAGTTTCATGCGGACAAAAAAAAAAAAATTTTAAAAGTGAATCTCACAAAATCTTTTTTATTTGTATGTAAATTATGAAAAATATAACTAATAATTCACATATAATAATTAGTGTAAATATCTTTCAGAAATTTGTTTGGAAATAAATATAACAAAATCTAACAAATAAAACCATAAATATTTGATAATAATACATAAAATAATCAAAATACTTAAAGACATATTATAAAAAACATAATATCAATAATAAATATGAAAATTACAAGAGCAAAAGTATATATTTTTTTAAAGATATTATTTTACACATTTTATCAAACATAAGCTAACGAAAAAAGTGAATCTCAAAACACTTTTTCCTTTTTGTTCACTGAACTCTGTATAACGAAAATAATAAATAATTAATACAATTGTTATAAAATATTAGGGAAATAAAAAAAAAAATCGTAAAATAACAATAAATTCAAATAATAGGTAGACTCCCCAAACATACCATATTACACTACTTACACCACAAAATGAAAAATTAATTGAAATGTTTAAATATTTGAGTGTATCAAATTAAATCCTTTAGTGGCACAATTCCAACTTAACTGGATGACTAATGTTCTGATTACCAGTTTCTCTTCAAAATTGAGATTTTTTTTTGAAAAATTATGCAAAAGTCATGACTTCAAAAAGAGTCATATACATTAGTTGTTAGATATAAATTATTCTAAGAGAGAATGGCATAACAATTCAATTATGATGATGCTAGAAAATCAAAATTTCATAACAAAAAATACTTACAATAACCTGACCAATAACTTAAATTAATAAAATAATATATCTCATATACATCTTTTGTAAATGTAAACTTAAAACACAAATGATGAAATCATATAAAAAATAATAATCTAGATTATAAATAAATTATATCCCCCCCGTAGGGCGGGCCGATCCTAGTTAGTATATAAATTTCACTCCACTCATGCGCGTGGATAATCCTAGTCTATTGTTATTCAAAAAGTTGGTTTTCTAATGATATCTAAAAGTTACCATCAAATCTAATGTTATTGGGAATTAAATTCTAGACAATTTTACTCATAAAATAAACTTGACAAATTTGTATATTTCTTCTAGATTCTAAAAAATAATTGTACTAAAATATTTTTATAAACCTTTTCAATATGAAAACTCTTTAGTAATCTTCTATCAAATCTCAACCCATAAGTCTAACTCCCAGTACCCCCCCCCCCTCCCCCAGGATTCTTGATCTGATTTCAATAAGTCAACTGTCCTTTCAAAAGGTGGGTTATTTTTATTTATGTTGTATAGATTAAAAGATATCACTATTCTATTTCTATTTTAATAATTGAATTTAAATGTGTTATCTTTTTTTCAAAATGATATTCATGAAATAAATTAAGTCATGGTATTTCAGTTTTATAGTATAAATATTTTATAGCGAAAAATAAATAATTTCATTATTTTATAAAATTAGGGATGAGGAATCAGGTCAAATCTGCCATGCCGTGGTAGACTTATTGTGTTAATTAAGGATCCGATATGCATTTTCAATAAAAAATATTACTTTTCCGATTGACAAACATTTTATTCACTTTAATAATTTTAATTTTAAATGATTCATATATTTTATATGACTTATATATGTTACATGATTTATATATATATATATATATTATAATTTTAATACATTTTATCTATGTTTAGTTTCTTACATGAAACATATTTTTTTTTCAATGTGCAAAATTTTTTTATTGGCAACTTATATATATAATACAAATTTTGTCTTTAATATATAATCATAATTTTGTCTTTACTTTCCATGTAAGTCGTCTTACCAATTGCAGATAAAAATTAAAAACTTTAGATCCCGTAACTGATTTTAAAAACGTTTGGTTCTATATTTATAAACATTTACGTTCTCATCTGATAAGAAAGTGTCAAAAGTTTCATCGAATATTTTTTTCAAAAAAAAACAACTGTTGGTAAAATATGTGTGGGTACCGAAAATTTTGGGATGGAAGTTACAAATTATGTGTTGACTAATAAAAATGTAATTACAGTTGTATAATTCGTTTATTTTGCTTTATTTAGATTCAGTTATAAAATATTTAATTTGTTTTAAAGTAGGTTACATGTTGAAAATAATAGTTGGATTAAACTTTTATCAATAGGTCGTTTTTCTAATGTAATAGAATAGATAGATAGGTCATTTAGGCCTTAAATAAAAGGGAAATTTTGCTCAATAGCCATAGTAACCCAACAAAAACAATAACTAACCATAATAAAGCTATCGTTAGGCTATGGTTGCATTTTTCCTCTTTAATCCCAATATTATCTTTCAACTGTGCGTGAAAGGAATATGTTTCTTTTTCTCAGCTAATCACACTATATTATATGTACAATAGTATAGTTTCTTATAATTATTTATAATATATATATATATTCCTCCAATCCCCTCCTCTCTCCATATCCTTCTCCACCTCTCCCTCTCCCTCTCCCTCTCCCTCTCCCTCTCTCTCTCTCTCTCTCTCTCTCTCTCTCTCTCTCTCTCTCTCTCTCTCTCTCTCTCTATATATATTGGAGTTCACTTTGGCGCCCACAATACGCATGTGCTTCTGGTGTCTTTTGTTTTTTCTTGTGTCTATACTACATCATATATATTATAGTATAGTGTTTCTCATGGGGTCAGACACGAACATGATACATAACGTTCCCATTCACGGCTAATGATGTTCGTGCATATACCTTAAGTTAATTGAACTGTCCATTATATACTATATCACTCTCTCGTTGTATTATATGTTTCATCTACCCACAAACAACACATTTTTATACCTGATATCTCCATGCCTGATTACTTTTCTTTAGCCGAAATGAATTTGTGTTGTGAGCTTGGATGTTATATTGATATTATACTATGCACCGTATATAATAGTATAGTATAGTATGTATACCGTAGATGCAGTTACGTCAACCCATTTCGAAACATTTTCATTGCTTGATAACCACCTCTCCCTCTCCCTCTCCCTCTCCCTCTCCCTCTCTCTCTGTATTGGAGTTCACTTTGGCGCTCACAATACACATGTGCTTCTGGTGTCTTTTGTGTTTCCTTGTGCCTATACTACATCATATATATTATAGTATAGTGTTTCTCATGGGGTCAGACACGAACATGATACATAACGTTCCCATTCACGGTTAATGATGCCCGTGCATATACCTTGAGTTAATTGAATTTTCCATTATATACTATATCACTTATAGTTTAGAATGAGGTCAACAATATCCAAACACGATGGAAGCAAAAGGGTCTTTATACATTTCCAATCAAAAAATGCCTAACTTTAATCCTTGACCGTGGGCGAAACGTGCGGCCTCCTCTGACTATGTTATATGATTTACGGTATAGTATACTTTAATTATGTTCTTTAGAAAATGTGACGCGCATATAATCATGCACATGTAAGTGAAGGATAAAAATATCAAGATTTAGTTCTAATTGTCACATCAACTATTCAGTGGTTAGATTCTTAATTTTTTGAACTCTTGTGATTATTTAACAAAATCACCCTAAATAGAATCCATTTAGGATTTTTTTCACCTAACTACGAAAGTCACAACTATTGATTCAGGAAGTAGATCTAATTTCATTATGTCATTTATTTAGACCTTAATAGAACGAGAAAATAGCCATTAAAACTCTCAATTTTCAAATTAAAGCCAAAAAACCTTCAACTCATGTTTGAGCCAAAAAAATCTCTACCTTTCAAATATTGGTCGTTTAACTCTTATATTGTGTTGACTCGGCCATTTAAGAAACCCAAATAGTCAACTCTTAAATGCGATTATAAAAATAGATGTATGTTAACTATGTAAAAGAGGTTGTTTTAAAAATTCATCTAACAACGTTATTTTGCTCCTTTAAACACTTAAACCATCTCTTTCGCGAAACTAGAGTCCAAAATTGACTTCATCTTCCTGAATCAAGATGAGGAAGATAAATTTGATTTGAGGTTTAAGTGTTTACAAAAGAAAAACGATTTTGTTTGATTACCGTTTAATCAGTTTTTAAAACAACATCTTTAAAGAATTAACAAACATTTGTTTTTGTAATAGAGCTTAACAAATGACTATTTGAGTTTATTAAATGGCCAAGTTAACAAAATATGAGAGTTAAAACGGCTAATATTTAAAAGTTGATGATTTTTTTGGCTCAAACAAGAGTTGGGGGTTTTGTGACTTTAATTTGAAAATTCATGATTTTAATGGCCATTTTCTCTTAATAGATGCACAAAATTCGTGTATGTCTTGGTCCTAATAGAGCTTTTTAGGGTTTCTTGCATATAACGTCACGATTGAGGGAAAGAAGGAAGCGGAAGCCTAGGTAAGTTTAGGGTTTCGTTTGTCTTAAGCTATGTGGCAATTCTGTCTACGGTTTATAAAATCTTCCATGGAAAGTTTGGAGCAGCAGTTCTTGGAGAGACTAATATTAAGCATATCCAGACATGGATCACAAACATCAAACTCGGTAAGAGAATACTCAGCCCCAATCCCAATTGATCAACTTCTCGTCGTTATCGAGATATTCTGTCGACTCCCCTTAAAGTCAATAGATGGGTTTCGTTGCGTATCAAAATTCTTGGCATCCATATTTTGTCATCCTGATTTCACTGAGTTGTTTTTGACTAAGTCTTTGGTTCGTTTACGGCTCTTTTTCACCATAGAAGCTAATGGAAAGTTGTTCTTCTACTCTTTACCTCAGCCTCAAAATCCAAACGGAAACTCTTCTCTTGTAGCCACCCCTTACCATTGTACGTCTCTTCCCAATTATCGTCCAACTTATATCTCTAAACCGTTATGTATATTGGTCTTTGCTTCAAGGATTTGGAATTAAAAAATGTCCG